CATCTTGGCCTCCAAGGAGTACTCTGGTTGCACTTCTTCCAAAACAGATCTATTGGTTCTTTTGGCAGTCCATGGCACTTTCAGTATTCTCCTTCAACACCACAACTCAAAGGCATCAATTCTTCTACAATCTTCCTTATTCACTGTCCAGCTTTCGCATCCAAATGAGGTTATTGAAAATACCATGACTTGGTATTTACCCACAAGAAATATGAGCCATAATACAAGTAGATATATGCACACCAGTGTTCATAGCAGCATTATTTTACAATAGCAAAAAGATGGAGACAGCCTAAGTGCTCATCAACTGAAGAACAGATAAACAAACTGTGATACACACATACAATGGAATATTATGCTACCTTGAAGAACAAGGAAGCTGTAAGCTACCACATAATATATATGACCTTGAGGACATTTTGTTGAGTGAAATTAATCAGTCACTAAAGGAGAAATACTGAACAGGACCACTATTGTAAAAGACTAAGAAAAATAACCCATACTAAAGTGGGGGAGGGGAGGATTCTTTGCTGGTTACCAGGATGTAGGGGATGGGGTGAGGGGAGGGAGGGGGAGGGGGAGCACACAGTAGGAAATAGACACAGGATAGTTTGGGTGCTGGAGAGGTGGGCAACACACAAGAAGGGGCAGGGGAATGGAAGAATAAGGCTGATGGAAAAACAGTTAGGCAGGATTGCATGGTCTAAGTGGGACAGAGATAAATAATGATATATGCGTAAAATTGGAACAACAAGCTCTGGGATACAGGAATTGAGACTTAGGTGGAATTGGAAAAGGGGGGAAATTATGTTTAGATTTTGGCTGTCTTTTGAATCTTGGTTTCCCTTGCATACCATTATAAAATAGACACTTGAGGGGGAGAGAAAGGAATAGCCAGAAATATCACCATAGTAATCTTGTAAGTCCGTCTTCTGCCTATAGCTATTGGAATACCTAAAGTGGGGCTACAACGTGCCCAGTAAAGGAGGCTTCCTGTGGAGCCTCTGCATTACATAAGACCAGAGGTAGAATCCTGAACCCCATCCAGAATCTTCTGAGGTGTGAAATTTCCACTTGAAAGGACAAGCAGACCAACCTGGAGTGGCTAGAAAAACAGAAGATACTTCTTGACAGCAAGCCCAACAGGAAAAATAAAAAAATAATAACAGCAGTACAACTGCTTACTACTAGAACAAGCAAGTTGCTTACCCAGGAGACATCAAGGCAAGTGGTTGGGTCTCCTCAGGCAAACCCCCTGCCAAGACTGAAACTGAGTGGGAATACATGAGCAGACATGTGCTCCGATTTGTTACAACGTTGGTCACTGATAAGGGGAAGTGAGGGAAAAACAGCAATGAAGCTGCGAGCTAGGCCCTACAATGTTTAATAGACTTCTGTGAACCAGGTGGAGACCTGGTTGGCCAGCAGTATGGCAAGACCTGGGGATTCTTGGGCCCAGAGTCAGTGACATATCCACAGAGGACTAGAGTGTCTAGCTGATAAGAAGTGTGGGCATATGCATAAGAACACCCACACTTGCAGGTAATAACCACTTGACTCGGTTTCAATGGCTCAATGAACAGAGCTCAACTAGAAGAAGAAAGAAGAGGAAAACAAGAGTTGTCTGATACAATTTGATGAATTTTATGTACACCTATGTATGCAGTAGCTCAAAAGAGGGAACAAATCTTTACAGCGAGGATCATTCTCACCCCTTCGATAAACAGGGTAGACAGGGATGCGCAACTTGGACATTGGCTATGCAAAATGGGGGGCCAACAAAGGCAAGAAGTAACTGGCTTACAGACATTCAAGAGGGAGCCTAGATCTAGAGGGCACAAAGGAAGGTAGAATCTCCACTGAGTAGTATCCAATCTGCCTGGATAAGGCTGATGAAAGTAGTTGGGGATAGGTCTCTTGTGGTATAATAGTGAATAATTGCTATCAGAACTGACTGTGAGTGTTGAAAATGTAAAGGTAGACATTTTGTAGAAAAGGAAGAGAGTGGTTGTCTTTGCAGTCCAGGAGCGGAGGTCCCTGGGACCATCAAGGGAGAAGAGCAGAGTGCGGGATCCTACCCAGAGAAGCATTGATGCCAGTGATGATGATGTGGAGAGATGAAGCGACTCGGGACTCTAGACACAAAGAGGATGAGGGTCTGTGTGCTGACGATAGGGGGACAGGCTTGCAGGGTGTATCCTTTGGTTGGTTGATGATGCATGGAGGGGATTGTAACCATGGCAATGAAACGATATAAGATAAGATGAATGTAAAGCTAATGTTTTCCCATTTAAACTATCATATAATTTGCAATAAAACATTTAAAAAAAAACAAACAAAAAACCTAAAAAACATGGGTGTAATTTAACTTTAGAAAGTTTTGCTGTTTTCTATTTTTCACTTTGTTGCCAGATTCTGAGTTCTTGTTTAAGATTCTAATGAATGAAATATGGAAATGTTGAGCGTCATTTGACTTGTACTATAAAGTTTTTCCTGGAATTCTGGTGGTATAGGTGTTAAGGCACTTTCCTGCTAATCACAATGTTGACAGTTTGAACCCATCAGCCATTCCTCAGAAGATAGATGAGACTGTCTGTTTCTGTAAAGACTTATAGACTCGGAAACCCTATCAGGGCAGTTCTACTGTGTCCAATAGGGTCGCTATGAGTTGGCATTGACATGAAGACAATGTCTTTTGGTAATGTTTTTAGTAATGTTTGTGGTTTGCAAGTTATTTGGAAATCTCTTACATCTTTGTTCTAGAAAAGTATTCTGGCATTTGTGCATGTTTCTTTTTGCCACACGCAAACGTTTGGGAAATGGAAATAGGGAAGCAGTAGCTTCTTAGAAAAACTATAGATGAATTAGCAGAATGTGACAGGAACTGTTAATCTTGGAAATTATTGCTTTTGTTTATTTTTTCTCTTTTGCTAGGAGACCTGTTATGATGATGTGTGTAGTACTCACCACACTTCCCAGCTTCAGCTTTTCTATAGCAGTGACTGAGGTATGGAATTTTGACTTTTTCTGCTATGGGATTTTGAGATTTTAAAATGTCTCCTCATTGGAGTTTTATAAATGCAATTGTCCAGTCTTATCTTATTCCATATCTATCTATCTATCTATCTATCTATCTATCTATCTATCTATCTATCTATCTATCTATCTA